CCTACAACATCTCTTTAAAACCATTCCCAAAACAGGTTGAACTTACAGTGAAAAGTTCATTGATATAAATACCACCCTGGCATCCTGGTCCTTATAAATGTTTAACTGTACTGTCCGAATTCACTGATCCATTGAAACCAAGTTCCTGTTAACTAACTTGACCAAATTTATGGTCAAGTAACCCTTGACCTACCCTCAGACAGAGATAACACTGGCAAGCAGAAAATGACTCATTTCTACATGAAACACAAATGTACTGAGTGCTTTTCCTTCTTGTTTTTCAAATGTTTGCAGTTATTTTGGTTTTTTTTTATCTTGACCATTCCTTTTTTTTTATTAAAAATTTCCACCTCCTCCCCACCTCCCTTTTCCCTCCAACTCCCTACCTCCGCCTCTCCACCTCCCCCTCCCTCTCTAGTCCTAAGAGCAGTCAGAGTTCCTTGCCCCGTGGGAAGTCCAAGGTCCTCCCCCCTCCATACAGGTCTATAAAGATGGGCATCCAAACAAACCAGGCTCCCACAAAGTCAGTCTATGCAGTAGAATAAAAATCCAGTGCCATTGTCCTTGGCTTCTCAGTCAGCTTTCATTGCCAGCCACATTCAGAGTGTCCAGTTTGATCACATGCTCCATCACTAGCAGGCCAGCTGGCCTAGGTGAGCTCCCATTAGAACAGTCCCACCGTCTCAGTGGGTGGATGCACTCCTCACTTCCTTGCTCATGTTTTCCCTCCTTCTGCTCCTCATTTGGACCTTGGGAGCTCAGTCCAGTGCTCCAGTGTGGGTCTCTGTCTCTATCTCCATCCATCGCCAGATAAAGGTTCTATGGTGATATGCAAAATATTCATCAGTATGGTTATGGGTCAAGGCCAGTCCAGGCACCCTCTCCTCTGCTGCCCAGGGAACAATCTGGGGACCTCTCCTTGGTTCTGAGAACCCCTCTAGAGAGAAGTCCCTAGCAAACCCTAAAATGGCTCCCTTAATTAAGATATTTACTTCCCTGCTTCCATAGCCACGCTTCCTCCTTTCCACCCATCCCATTCCCCCAAGCTTTCCCCAATCCTCCCCTTCTTTCCTCTCTCTACCCATCTCCCCTTACACCCACCCCCACCCCTGTGCACCCAAGTTTTGCCTGAAAATCTTGTCTACTTCCAATATCCAGGAGAATAACTATATGATTTTCTTTAGGTTCACCTTCTTATTTAGCTTCTCTAGAATCATGAATTATAGGCTCGAAGTCCTTAAATTATGGCTAGAATCCACTTTTGAGTGAGTACATACTATATTCCTCTTTTTGGGTCTGGGATACCTCACTCAGTAAAGTGTTTTCTATTTCCATCCATTTGCATGCAAAATTTAAGATGTCATTGTTTTTTACCGCTGAGTAAAACTCTAATGTGTATATGTTCCCCACCTTCTTTAACCATTCTTCTATTGAGGGGCACTTAGGTTGTTTCCAGGTACTGGCTATTACAAATAGTGCTACTATGAACATAGTTGCTTTTGTAGTAAGATATGGCATCTCTTGTGTATATTCGCAAGAGTGGAATTGCTGGGTCCTAAGGTAGGTTGACTCCCAGTTTCCTGAGAAACCGCCACACTGATTCCAGAGTAGCTGCACAAATTTGCATTCCCACCAACAATGGGTAAGTGTTCCCCTCACTCCACATCCTCTTCAGCATAGGCTATCATTGGTGTCTTTGAGTTTAGCTTCTGAGATGTCTCCCTAATTAAAGCCTTCTCCCTCCAAATTGTCATAGTTCCTCATTTTCCCTACATTTCAACAACCCTCTTAAGAAGACACATCCTGGTTGGACAGTGGTAGCACATGTCTTTAATCCCAGTACTGAGGAAGCAGAGGCAGGCTAATCTCTGTGAGTTCAAGGAGAGTACAGGCTTCAAAGCTACAGAGAACTAAGGCTTGAAAAAAATCTAAATCTGGAAGTTGTTTTGACTTTTAAAACATTTACTACAGCTTTAATTTATGTCAAACTCTTAAAATTATCCCGTGAACCTCATTACCAATCAACTCATATTCATCCATCCACTCATTCACTGATTAAAATTTTTTTCTTATAAAAGTAGTTTTTAATAAATTGATGTATTTCAATGTTGTAACATGATAACCCAATGCTGTATCAAGGTAGCAAAAGTGAAGGTTCCTGGTGTTTCATAAACACTGAATGACAGTACACTTGCATTCAACTTCACAAGAAATTCTCTTCGGGTCCATGAAGATTCACTGATAGCTGTCCCAACTGTTGACAGTGGGGATGTGTGTGTAGAGAATGAGGAGATAATGAAAGTCTAACAATCAAGCTACACTCTCAAACCCATACTGACAAGAATGAGGTGTAATGGCAGGATGGCCAACTGCTGACAAAAACTAACTTTTAAAATTAGTCATTTAAAGCAAACATAGCATATACCAAAGCTACAGGAAATATATAATGGAGTTGTAAGATGACACATGGGTTAGAGTCCTGAAGCAGTGAATGTGTTTCTAGCCGTCTTGTGACAGAAGAAGCCATGGAAAGAGTTCTGCAGCTGTCGGTGGTGCCTGATCTCTACACACAATGCTTTCAATGGACTACACCTGGAATTCCTTGCTCTGTAAGATGCTGGTGATGGGTAAGATGCTATTGCTGTGAGTCAGAGCAATAGTTGGCTGGAGCTCAGGCCTGGAGGCGCTCTAGGACAATCACCACCTGCTACCGTCCCATGTTACACTTCTAAAGCTGATGCCCCCAGTGAGGGTTAAAAAACCCAAGCATATTTAAAACAAGTACCAGAAAACAGCTGTCTGATCTTTACAGCTATTACTGTTCAACCCTCCAGGAGAAATGGTTTCACTTGGTTACAACTGTAGAAGCTATACTGGACTCCATGGACCACATGTAAATTCATGACTACAGTTTTGACCTGGAATTTTTTTCTTATGAATTCTGGTTGAGAACAAGATTGCTTTCTTCCAAGGGCAGGAGAAGCAAAATTAATAAAACCCATTTTTAATTTGCACTGTAGAAAAGGTCCTCACTAAACGAGATTCTTTCTCTTTCAACCTTAATCAAGTACACTAGACTGCAAGAAACCTCACGTCCAGAATCTGACCTGCTCACTTTCAGGTTTCCCAGAAGACCTTTATATCACTTCAGACGCTACAGAGACCAGCAAGTCACTTGTATTTTGAGCTGCTGAAATATGAGTGAACAGAGAAGAGCTGTTACTGTTTATTTACCCAGAAATGTCTGAGAGGCCATTCCCTTGGGTCAACAGCAGATTCAAAACATATCTCAATGGGTTAGAAAACATCATGATCCATATTATTAATTTAAAAAAAAACTCCAAGTGAACCACATCAAGCATTACCTACTAACCTGGGCTTGGGGGCTAGGTCTCTTCTTTTAGTGAACAACCTCCTGGAGAGCATTAGTGTTTTGTCCTAAGTCTCATTTTCAGACCTGAACTAAGTCAACTCTTCATAAAGACAGCATATTCTGTCCTGCTGTACGGTTCCTGAAACACAGGCTCTGCCCTCCCATGGAGCAGAGCAACTTTCCTCTCTGGAAACAGAACAGTCAAACAACACAAAGTGGCTTCATTTTCCTCAGGCCAGTGTTTATAACCCAAGGTTTACTTTCCCTAAAGAGGGTGTGCTTACATTAAGTATCAATCAAAATCAGCTCATGGCAAAGTTAAAGATGTAATTTACTCAAAGATATGTATCCTCACATAGAGAAATGTGACTTTTACACTAATGAAGTATCTAAAGCTGCAGTCAGTACCTTGGATGTTTCTATGCTGCATCCACTACTTTACACAGGACACTCACTCTTAAGGCAGAACATTGATTGTGACATGTAATGATTGGTTCTTACATCCAAGGGTCAACTGGGGGTAGACTCTAGCAGACAACTTCCTTACTAAGGAAGATTTAACTGTAGCGACAACTTCATTCCTACGATTATGTTATGTAAGAGACACACATTTGAGAGAACATAAAAAGATGAATTTAAGACACACAAAAATATGACTTTTCAACAAGAGATCAATGAAAATAGAATTTCTATTATGAGCCGAAACTACTCTCATCATGAACTAATAAACTCCAACAAGCCATTTCTGATATGGTGTACACAAAGTATTAAATATTAAAGAATTACCGTGGGGGGTGTTTCTTTAGACTCTAATTTTCAACGTCTAGTATAAAAGGTAGCCTGGATAGTTAAAAAGCAGTTTAATGTTAGTTCATACTGCTGCTCAGGAAGCTAGGTTAGGATACTCCCGCCCCACCCAAAACATCCTGAGCAGGGAGGAGTTTAGTATGTATTAAAATAAAAATGAAGCCCCTCCCCAACATATGTGCAAAAACACTTGTCAGTTGTAAGAGTATCTTCCATGAAAACATCTTCATTATAGAGTCAAGGCATCAAGCCAGGCATATACAAGAATACCACCCTGCTGAGGTGGGCGTATTTGGGATGAAACCAGCTGCTCCACGGGCACCTTGGGAAACGTGCTACTCAGAATGGGAAGGGGTGGAGTGGAACTGACCCAGGGCTCCAAGCCCTCAGGCTGTGTGTGTGCTCCTTCATGTCAGGCCAGTTTGGATTCCTGTATCTGGGCACCAAAAATGGTAACAAAACAAATACAAATCTAACATACATCTCTTAAGCAGGTGATGGGAACTGTAACCATGTAAGTACCTCTTCAAGTGCCTACTTTTTATGCTGTAGTTATGGCGATTTTCAGGATGTGTACAAAGATGACCTACCTAATTTCTGAAGATGAAGATTTTCTTCTTTCATGGTGGCAGAAGTCCATGCAAGATTTGTAAACAGTGATACACAATACTGTAAACGTAATTTAACAGAGCTCATATAAAACAGAGGAAGTGAATCCAAATTTACAAGTGGATTAAAAAAAAAAGAGGGCAGCTTCATATAAAGTTTTCCCTCCTGCGCCAAGTGATTTTTTTTCTTCTTTTTTTTTTGTTTGTTTTTGTTTTTGACTACAAAGATAATCCTGAGCTGAAAAACTGGGATTTGGGGGAGAGCCATCTTTGCATACAAAATATCCAGAGGACATTTACTTTATTTTCTTTTCTCTAGTGATATTCAACTGCCAGAGACAGTTCTGAAGGTGTGACTTTGGAGATGCTCATAGTTGAGTGTGACGCCCAGTTCTGGCACCAGCTGCAGCACTTGCCATGGCGGCGGATGCGGCTGCATCCTCTGCTTCTTCCAGTTCATCCTGGAGCTCTTGGCTGACACTAGACTGCAGTGCAGCAGGAGTGAGCCACTCTTTGGGAGGCAACTCTGTAGAAAGAGTACACAGGAGCTGAAGTAGGCCAGTCGGTTGATCCAGCGAGGAATCTCTTTCCCACAAAGAATCCTAAATGAGGACAGCACCATTCATGGGCTGGAGTTCCAGATACTCTGACAAAGCTGAAGAAAAGTGAGTGCAGTTTTTGTGCATCAAATGGTAGGCTTTCCCCAGTTCTTCTACAGTCTTTTCTATATCATCTTCTAGAAAGTCCGTACTCCCTAAAACAACAGCTTCTTTAAATTTAAATGTTCCTCCTAGTTCAGAAGCATTTCCTGGGGAAATTTCAAATATTCCAGAAAAAGAGTAAGGATGGCCACCATAAGCAAATTCTCTGCCATACACTTCAATTTCAGAACGAAAAACTCCAATTCCAATAGATGATGTGTATTCATTCATTCAGTACATGTCGTACACGTTGAGCACCACTAACTGGTTAGCCCCCATCCTCCTTACGGCGGCCGTCGCCTCGTCCTCCAGCCGCTCGGTCTCCGCGGGGTGGAGGCCGCTGCCACCCCCGCGGGCACTTCTGGTAGGGCACGAGCCGGGCACTAAGCGTCCAGCCCAGCCCGCCGCAGCCGGGGCGGAAGCATCCGGCAGCCGGGGCCGCTCCCGGGAGCCGCTGACAGAGACCTGTGTGAGGACCGGGCTAGACCGGTGGAGAGCCCGCTCCTGATTAAAATTTTTGTTACATTTTTTTAACTGAAAAAAGGAACCTTTATTTCTTACTTTTAAAAACAACTTCATTGTTTAGGGAAGCTTATGGCACTGCTGAACAAAATAATTAGTCAGAACAGCAATTTTTAATATTATTTAAATAACTGCTTGGACAATCTCTTAAGTGTATTGCTAGCTAGCTCTTATAGCTTTAGTTAACACATTTCTATTATTTTATATTTTACTATGAGGCTCGTGGCCTACCAGCAAGGTTCCAGCTGGCAGCTCATGTCTTTCTCCTCTGGTAACTCCATGGCATCTCCTGACTCTGCCTTCTTTCTCCCAGCATTTGGTTTAGTTTTCCCCGCCTATCTTTACTCTGCCCTATTACAGGCCAGGGCAGCTTCTTTATTCATTAACCAATAAAAACAACACAAATAAAGAAGGACTTCCCACACCATTTCCTCTTTTCTATTTAAATATAAAGAAAGGTTTTAACTTTAACACAGTAAAATTACATACAACAAAGTAGGTATCAAGCAAGAATTACATTTACAACATTTATATCTACTTTATCTTTTATAATAACTAAGGAAAGCTATAATTATAACTATCTATTCCTCAACTCCATCAAAGACTCCAGAGGGATGTAGTATTACCTAAGTCAACAGGAAGTATGTTCTAAGCAACTTCCAAAACTCTAGAATTGATAGAGACATCTCACTTCCTGAACAGTCACCCAATGTTGTTCTGTAACATCGGGGCATCCTGTAGGCCCATAGTTTCTGGCAGACATTTTCATGAAGAAGGAATTTCAAACACAGATTCACCTATATTGGTAAGTTTGTCAGTCACTTTCTTCTGTGTCCTGTAGAATATCTGGCAGACTCTTTCATGATGCAGGAACCCTGAAGGACTTTCTCACATTCTTTAGGCAGCTTCAGTAATCATTTTGAAAACAATAAAACGTCAAATTACGTAGAAATACAATAATTGACCCAAAATAAAAATAAATATTTAATGACATAGTGAAATAAAAACTTTTTAAAACAACCAAATAAATCCAGAATCTGAAACACTATAAATAAAATTGAAATGTAATGGAGATCATTTACAGTAGAATAGTTGAAGCTGAAGAAATAGTCCATGCTCTTGAAGATTGGACATTTGAAAATATCAATTTAAAGAACAAAATGAAAGATAAATAAAATAGATCAAAGTAAGGATTTTTAATTTGTATATTCTGTTTAAGGGACTGAATTATAAGCTCAAATGAATTAATTCATTGGAATTTTCTTACTCCCACTTTACCTTTAAGATTAATGATTCAGGCTGTGTCAGCTCAGTGACATTCCTGATCAGCAAGGAGAACCGACTTCTAGCAGACAACCATCAGAGGGATGAGTTTGCTTCTGGCCCTCGGCAGGAGCCCAGCAAGGAAGAGTTAAGGCTTCCCCCGACCCCCTAGACTCTCAGGGCACCTTGCAGTGGTGGCTCCACCCTGCTAAGCTCTCCCGCCTGCCATCCCAGCTTCCATCCAGGTACACCTTCCTATATTTCTCCCTTCCCCCTGGGGCCATAAAATTTCCCCAGTTCAGCTGCCTTGTGCACTGGGCCTGGGCTGTAGATGCAACCTGGAAGGAGGGAGTGCCTGTGTTTCAATAGCGTGCCTGAGGAAAGGTAGGCCTTCTGTCAGTGAAGTCCCTGCCCAACAAAGGAAGCTGACCCGGTATCAGAAGATCCAATAGAGAGCATTTGAAGGAAGAGATGGGCAGACGCCAAGGCAAGACCTCCTCCAACAATCTGAAAAAAACACGAAAACACCAGATCCCAACGACCCTACAATAGAAGGACTTGAACACCTTAATCCAGAAGAAGTGGATAAAAGTGCCATTATGAAAGCATTAGAGTCCCTTAAACAGGATATGAATAACTCCCTTAAAGAATTGGATGAGAAGTATAAAAAAAGTTTGAAGAAATGAGTAAATCCGTGAATGATACCCTGGGAAACCAAGAAAAAACAATCAAACAGGTAAAAGAAACAGTTCAAGAATTGAAAACTGGGCACTCTTGTCTCCTGGGCCCTGGGGAGACCAGCTACCCCTGTAGCAGTGCCGAGGAGTTCTACCCGGAGAGGTGAGTGGGTGCTAGCCTGGGCGGCCAGCCCGGGAAGAGAGCACAGCCCCTCCCCATTCAGCTTCTGCAGCAGGGTCTTCCGTGTTTCACCGGACCCCTCCCTGCCCCCACTGCCCTGCACTCTTGTCTTCTGGGCCCTGGGAAGACCAGTTACCCCTGTAGCAGTGCCAAGGAGTTCTACCCGGAGAGGTGAGTGGGTGCTAGACTGGGCAGCCAGCCCGGGAAGAGAACACAGCCCCTCCCCCCTCAGCTTCTGCGGCAGGGTCTTCCGTGTTTCACCGGACCCCTCCCTGCCCCCACTGCCCTGCACTCTTGTCTCCTGGGCCCTGGGAAGGTCAGCTATCCCAGCTGCAGTGTTGAGGAGCTCTATCCAGAGAGTGCTGAGGAGCTCTATCCAGAGAGTGAGGAGGAGTTTCATCCAGAGAGGTGGAGATGGGCAGGCGCCAATGCAAGAATTCTTCCAACAACCTGAAAGGCAACATGACATCTCCAGAATCCAGGGAGCATGAAATGAGAAGAATTGAACACCCTACACCAGAAGAAATAGAAGAAATCGACTCTAAGTGGATCTATATGAAAATAATAGAGGAACTTAAACAGGAGGTGAAAACCTGCCATAAAGAAATGGAAGATAAATATAACAAAAAGATTGAGGAAATGAGTAAAGAAATGGAAGAGAAATATACCAAAAAGTTTGAAGAAATGAGTAAATCCGTAAATGAAATTCTGGGAAACCACAGAAAAACAATCAAACAGGTAATGGAAACAGTTCAAGATTTGAAAACTGAAATGGAGTCAATGAAGAAATCACAAACCGAGGGCCGGCTGGCTATGGAAAATCTAGGTAAACGAACAGAGACTTCAGAAACAAGCATAACCAACAGAATACAAGAGATAGAAGAAAGAATCTCAGACTCTGAGGACACCATAGAGAAATTAAACGCTCTGACCAAAGAAAACAGCAAATCCAACAAATTCTCATCACAAAACATTCAGGAATTGTGGGACAAAATAAAAAACCAAATCTAAGAATAATAGAGATTGAAGAAGGACAAGAACGGCAGATCAAAGGCCCAGAAAATATATTCAACAAAATTATAGAAGAAAACTTTCCCAATCTAAAGAACGATATTCCTATGAAGGTGCAAGAAGCATACAGAACACCGAAAAGACTGGATCAGAAAAAAACATCCCCTCACCATATAATAATCAAAATACAAAACATACAGATTAAAGAAAGAATATTAAGGGCTGCAAAGGAAAAAGGTCAAGTAACTTATAAAGGTAAACCTATCAGGCTTACACCGGACTTCTCTATCGAAACCATGAAAGCCTGGATAGAGCCTGGATAGAGGTACTGCAGAAACTAAGAGACCATGGATGCAAGCCCAGACTACTATACCCAGCCAAGCTATCGTTCACTATCAATGGAGAAAACAAAATATTCCAGGATAAAAATAAATTTAAACAATTCGTAGCCACAAATCCAGCTTTACAGAAAGTAATAGAAGGAAAATCGAAACCCAAGGAATCCAACATTGCCATCACTACCTACAATAACCCAGACATCTAGCGACCCTTCACAACCACAACTCAAAGAAGAGAAACACACAAACTCTACTACACACACACACACACACACACACACACACACACACACACACAAAGTAATAACCGGAATCAACAACCACTGGTCATTAATATCACTTAATATTAATGGACTCAACTCACCTATAAAAAGGCACAGACTAAGAGATTGGATACAAAACAGGATCCAACATTCTGCTGTTCACAAGAAACACACCTCAACCACAAAGACAGACATCTATTCAGAGTAAAGGGCTGGGAAAAGGTTTTCCAAGCAAATGGACCTAAGAAACAAGCTGGTGTGGCCATTCTAATATCTAACAAAACTGACTTCAAACTAAAATCAATCAGAAGAGATGGAGATGGACATTTCATACTCACAAAAGGAACAATTCATCAGGAGGAAGTCTCATTCCTGAATATCTATGCCCCTAATATAAAAGCACCCACTTATGTAAAAGAAAAACTTTTAGAACTCAAGGCAGTCATCAAACCACACACACTAATAGTAGGAGACTTCAACACACCTCTCTCACCAAAGGACAGGTCAATCAAACAGAAACTCAACAGAGAAATAAGAGAATTACTAGAGGTAATGAATCAAATGGACTTAACAGATATCTATAGAATATTCCACCCAAATAGGAAAGAATATACCTTCTTCTCTGCAGCTCATGGAACCTTCTCGAAAATTGACCACATACTCGGTAACAAAGCAAACTTCCACAGATACAAAAAAATTTTAGTAACCACCTGTGTCTTGTCGAATCACCACGGTATAAAGTTAGAATTCAATAACAATTCGAACACCAGAAAGCCTACAAATGCATGGAAGTTGAACAATCAACTACTGAATCATCCTTGGGTCAAGGAAGAAATAAAGAAAGAAATTAAAGTCTTCCTTGAATTTAATGAAAACAAAGACACAACATACTCAAACCTATGGGACACAATGAAAAGCAGTGCTAAGAGGAAAGTTCATAGCACTAAGTGCCCAGTTAAAGAAAACGGAGAAAGCACATATTGGAGTCTTAACAGCACACCTGAAAACTCTGGAAAAAAGAGAAGCAGACTCTACCAGGAGGAGTAGAAGACTGGAAATAATCAAACTGAGGGCTGAAATCAACAAAATAGAAACAGAGAAAACAATCCAAAGAATTAACGAAACAAAAAGTTGTTTCTTGGAGAAAATCAACAAGATTGACAAACCCCTAGCCAAACTAATCAAACGGCAGAGAGAGAACACTCAAATTAATAAGATCAGAAATGAAAAGGGGGGCATAACAA